GAGAAAAGGCTCAGCTCTGCCCCCCAGCCCACAGGCTCCTGTGAGGTTCACATGGAGCATCATACCTCAGTGGGAAGCTGCCATGAGTCCACTTCCTTACCCTCATACATTCCTAGGCTGAAAAACCCTCATAACACGCATAGTTCATATAGGGGTAGCTTCAGAGCATCACAGTTTCTGCCACAGAGCTTGACTTCCCATTAAAAAAGAGGCTTTTACAAAAATTGTTTTCCCATTCCCCTCCAAGAAAACAGCAAGTCATACCATACTGGACAAAGGCAGAATTTACAGCATTCTGATCTCTCTACAAAATATTTATTGGTAACAGCCACAACACTGAATTCTCCACATAATGTAGTATTTTTGACAAAGCATAATTTGACTTTATGCATTTATACTCATCTGGCAGATACCACCCAGGAGTCAAACTCCTCCCTCTTACCAGCTCACAGCCAAATAGACCAGTTTCTGAAAGGCTGGCCAGGATCCCAGCCCCTGACCCAAAACCAAAGTGAAAGATTCTTAAAGTGCAAATATAGTCAAGAGGCATTGGAAAAGATACACTGCTGCTTCAAATTTGTTCACTCAGTTGTTCCTGTGCTCCCCAGAGCAGGGGTTGGGACATTAACTGAGAAGAGTAAAAAAAAATAATTAGATAAAATCTAAGATTAACTTGGAAAATTAACCCAAAATCTCCTACAGCCCAAGCAGATGTGCTCAGCCAGCACCACTGTTAACTGAGGTGGACTGTGGAGTCTCATTTCTCCCTTGCTCTGAAGAAAGGTCTTTATCTCAACACGGGGGATATTTTAAGTTTCATAATTTAGAGGGGGAATGCTTTTTCCTGCTTGGCTTTACATAAGGTTGTTCACTCCATTAGACCTGGGACAGCTGTTTTTAATGAGGTTCATTTCTCATCAGCTGGCTGCCCTGAGTAGCACAGGATTTGCAGTCCTGATAGTTTTGGAGAAGCACAGAAGCGAAAAGCTTCATTCACCTTTCCTGTCTAATGTTCTAGAAACACACAATAGAACAAGTTCCTTGACAATACTTGGCACATTTCCCTCTTTTAAAGGCAGACAGAAAACACTCAATGCTACATCAACCAAGACAGATTTCTTTGTCTCTGTGGTTGGCAACCAGCCCTGGGAAGTCATTCAGCTTTTATTTTGAATTGAGCATTAGTTTTGTGTTGCACATGAACCTGTAAATTTCTCCTCACTCCAGAAAGCCACTGATGTTCTTAGCACCCGTGTCCTTCTAGATCAGTCCTTTCATCCTCTTTTCTTAAACATGTTATGCTGCAATACACAAGCAGCACTGCAAGCAGCAGAGAGCTGAACACTGGTCTTTAGACAAGCACTCAAACCACATGAGCAAAGAGCATTTTGAGAACAAGAGACTTCCAGATACTTCCCTGTGAAAAGTAACATGAAGAATGGCTGGAGGCTATCTGTTCATGTCCTCAGGAAACAGTCCTGGTAAAACCCTGAAAGATGATTTGCTAAAGTTTAACTGCTAAAATGCACTACAAACCCCAAATATCTGTATGTTACAAACCACTGAAAAATACGGCTGCTTACAGAAAACACCAACACTGGTAAAATAGCACCAAGCAGCCTGAAATGCAACAATATTGAGTAGAAGTGGCTGTGGAAGCCTGGTCACAGTTGTGAGGACCAAGACAGCCATCTCCTTTCCCACTGGACATTTACAGGTGAGGATGGGAGAGAACACACACCAGGAAGAGGGATGGTGGTACAGGTTTATGACTCTCTCATCTGCATCTCCCAACAGGAGGCCTGTTGGGCAAGGTTGAAAGCATCAGTCTGCTCTTCCCTTCTCCACTCTGGAAAATGGCAAACTCACATCACAGACCTGTGCTGTAAGAACTGGCCCTGAACTCGTGCAGTAGCACCAGCAGAGGCAAGTCACTGAGCCTAAGGAGAAGCTTCAACCTCAGCATTGATTCAAATACCAAGTTTCTCAGGCTGCCTCACGCAGGACAGCCCTCCTGCCCACTGTCAGAGGCAAATGCTGCAGCTCAGCATGTGCTTCTACTTTAAAGACCCAGCAGTGGAGAAATGCTCCTTCCCCATCCCCAGCTCTTAGCACAGCTCATTTCCAGTGGCAAGGGTTGTTAAAAACATTTTTTAAAGGCAAGGAAAATAAAAACTGAAGCTGTTCTACAAGGTGATTTACTTTTCCAGGGAGACATGCTCTGAATTATATACAGGGCCTGGCAGTTGACATGAACTTTGCTGCAATAGGGCAACATGTAGATCTAAGGTCAAATGCTGGAGCAGTGTTCTCCAGGATGGGCTGGCGCTTCAGAGCAGTAAGAACATGCCCATCACTGCGTGTGTCACCTTACCAGCATTTTACATTTAGGAAAGGGGAAGCACATGTGACTGGGTGAGGGAAAGAATGGACTTTCCAAGATGTGACCCAGCACATAAAGCCAAGTATGTTTGGGAAGGCAAGAATACAATGAACACCACATTCACGCTGAGCCTGTCCCAGCCTGCTGGTGGATGCATCTGAGCAATGCAACATTTCAGGAAAAAGAAACCGGAATCAGGCTTGAAGACCAGCTTGCTAGCCTTTCTGTGCCATTTGTCCACAAGCCCCTCGGCAGGAGGAGAGCACGTCCCTCCCTTCCCTTTGCAAGAGCTTTCCCTGGAGCAGGGCCACAGCAAAACAGCTCAGTCACATCTAAGATTTAAAATAAGCAATTCTGAAGACACCACCTGACAAAGAAGCATGGCTTTTTCAGGTCTACCCTTGAAAACCTGCAGAACCTATAACAAAATGCATGATGAACTAACTGCATGTCAGTTTCAACAACAAAAGGATACAGGTTTAAGCCTGGGGTGGGGAGAATTGCATGGATCTTGTTTACAAACCAGGAGGGAAAACTGAATTGATGAAGGTAAACAGCCTAGACACCCCACAATACTGGCCCACATCATATTCTTTAATATCTAAAAGTAAAAAAATATGGCCCATTCCCACTGCCCTCCCCCCATGGTATTTACAAATAAGTTCAGCCAAGAGGATACATAAGATACACGGGCAGACTGTGCTTTCTGTCTCAGTTTGGTTTCTCTATCTT